TTTTGATACATGTTCAAATGTTATTATTTTGAAATTTAAAATTGGAATTTGAGGCAATATAAAAGTGAAACAAAGAAATTACAATTTTGCATTTGAAAAAGAAGTCAAAAGTGCATGAAAACATAAAAGTTCGCAAGTCGCGCGAGCGCGTACTTCAAAGTCGCGAGCGCGTAGAATGCAAAATGAGAGACAGTGAGTTATCGGGCACAAGTCGCGAGCGCGTACTTGAAAGTCGTGAGCGTGAGAAGTACCAAATGAGAGACAGTGAGTTCTCAAGCTAAATTCGCGAGCGCGCGATGAAGGTCGCGATCGCTTATAGGCCAAGGGCCAAGTACGCGAGCGCGCACTTCAAAGTCGCGAGCGCAAGATGTGCCAAATGAAAGTTAGAGAGTTTGCGAGCACAAGTCGCGAGTGCGCACTTGAAAGTCGCGAGCGTGAGATGTGCTAAATGAGAGTCAGAGAGTTTTAGGTGAAAGTCGCGAGTGCGCATGTGAAAATCGCGAGCGCGAGAAGGCAACGCGAACTCGTCATGCAAACTCATCATGCAATTCGCGCGCTGCGGCTTTCCAGCCTTGCACTGTCTGTACTCTTTTGGTCCAATATCTCTCAAATATACAACTTCCAAATTTGGGATGATTCAAAAACCCATGTAAAGCTACACACATAGAGGAAACAAATAACTCTTCTATGACACTTCCTATTCCATCACTACATTAAATGGGTTCAAAATCAAGATGAAGTTGCTGGTAAAATTTCCAGCAAACTCTGTTTCCACTTCATATATTCATCCCCTGTTTTCAACATAAACTCAATACCTCCCCTGTTTTCTCACCACTACCATTCTCCAACACAAAGCAATATATTGTCTCAATAGCAACACACCACAAAAATTCTCATGCAAGGACAATAATAAAAATCAAGAGATATCAGACCTTTACTCCAAAAACGCGTGAGCTCTGTTCTAACTTCTCTTCTCTACACTCTTTGAACTTCCTTCACCTAGAATAAAAATTCTTATCACTTATCTACGATATAACTCAATTAGAGGTTGAATAGCATAAAGCTTCAAGAAATTCTACTTACTTGGAGAACTAGAGGTTGCCTTAATGCTAAAGAGAAGTTTGAAGTTAAGGCCCTTAATCTCCATGAAAATTGAAAAAGTAAGTTGGAAGAGGAAAGGAAGAAGATGAAGAATAAACATGAAAATGGGAAAGTGGAAAATGTATATTACGGGTAGGCCATAAAAAAAATCAAAGGATTTTATGGAAAACTTTCCTAAATGGTACCTAATTGTAAACAGGCTAACAACTTAATAACGCCAAGCTCAATCTTTTAAAATACAAATTCAATCCTCACCACATGCTTAATCTTTTTCTCTCACTCAAATAAGTCCACTTATAATCTCATTCATACCCCAACCGGGTTTGGTTAAAACTCGACTCAACTCGGCCTATCAACTCTATGCTACAGACTCGAGCTTAAGACTCGACTCGGAGTAGGATGTCACACTTCGGTACTGCCGTGCCCCTTGACTCAGCACCCCTTGGCCTATAAATATGGCACTTCCCCCCTCATTTCAAGCAACTCTTATTGCTTGATTAAGCGCTTCTCAAGCTTCAATGACTCTCATTGTCCCTTTTGCGATTCTAAGGCAATATAGTCCGACCTTGCTTTTCTTTCTTAGTGGAGTTTAAGGCTCGACTTGATACTCAAAAGTCGATCCTTTCGACTTTCACTCACACTTTAGTCTTCCTTAGACTAAAGCTATTAGTTAATTAATTTATTATTAATTAATTTATTATTAATTAATTTAAAAATTAATTAATAATTTGTTAATTAACACCAGTTCAATACAAGACTATAATTTAGGTCCCCGTGCCCTACCTTAGCTTATTTGGAGAGAGACTCGACCTCTTTGGTTGATTAACACCGTGGAGCTCCAATCCAGTCGCATCACAAGCATTAGGGTATAACCTCTAAACTTAAACTTAGTCAATTAAGCCTGGTATGTCCAGCACATTGCATGCTTTAAGCCTGGTCTGTCCGGCATACTAAGCCCGGTCCGTCCAGTAAAATCGATAAAACCAGTTTTCAACTAAAGGCCGGCACACCTCTAAGTCCACTCCCTGAGTGGCACCTCCAAAACCCTGCCATCCTAGTCGATAGTAGAACTTCGTGCGCCCTGATCTTCATACAAACGAGGTATGAAGGCATACCTACGGATTTCAGCCTAAGTAGCGGGCCCCAACCAAACTGACCTAGAATCCTCGATAAACGAGGCTAGAGTCGAGCTTCCCTTCGAATTACACCCTTCATTGCTTTATTTACTTTAATGCACTATATTTTTAATATTGCCATGCATTATAAATATGTTCATGCATCGATAAATTAACATTCATGCAAAACGCCGATTTTGATTTCTTAATTATGACCCAAACCGTTGATTCATTTTGAAAGAAGCTAAAAACCTAGTCCTCGAACCCTATGATTTGAGGCTAGTGCTTTTATCCTAAAAGGCAAACTGAAAATGGAGTACATCACGGGATTTTTTCCTTAGTTCTTCCTCGAAAACAAAAATAAATTAAGGTGGCGACTCTATCATATCACACACCTGTCAAAGCGCTCTAAAGAGCCAACCCTATATGAACTTTTCCATGATTATCACATAATATGATATGAGAATGTAAATTTTATGGTAAAAAACACAAACCTATATGAAGAGATTAACAACACAAAAATCAATTTCATGTAAATAACGATCTAGCAAATAGAATATAAATAAGAAAAGAGCATATTAATAGCAATCAAAAAGTCTCAAACTATGAAATATTATAACCAAATAAAGAATCAGTAATTAATAAGAAATTGAAGAGATACCTACTTGAGGTTTGGATTCCTTTGATCTACAGAAATTCCTCTAGTTTGCTTCTTGAAGAAAGGATTTGAAGGTTTTTTTTTTTTCTTTTTTTTTTTTTTTTTTTTTTTTTTTTTTTTTTTGGAAGATAGGGTTTGGAGAGATTGGGAGGGACTTAACGATGAGTGTCTTTTTTTTTTTTTTTTTTTTTTTTTTTTTTTTTTTGAAGATAGGGGTTTGGAGAGTTGGAGACCTTAACGATGAGTGTCAAATAGAAAAGAGGGCAAATTAGACATTATCAAATTTGTGGAGGTTGAGAAGTGCACTTCCTTGGGTCAAGGAGAGGAAGTAAATTCTCGTACGGTCAGGAAATTCAACACTTGAACTTCTCGGAAAGTTCTTTATTTTTGGGAGTCAAACATGATAAAATTTATCACTTTTTGGGAACTCCAAGTTCCCAAGTTCACTTACACCCAACCAAATGAGGCCTAAATGAGTATAATATGTTAATATTTCAAATAAATAAACAATCATTTATAATAAATCATAAATATAAAATAAAAATATTTAATTTCATATTTCAATATAATTAGCTAAATTCTCAAAATTGTTATTGCTATTGAAAAATACATTAATAGTGTTTGCTTTTTTTGTGTAGGTCATACCATGTATGATATTTCCTATTGCATACCTTGGTGAAAGGCTTCACATGATAATTAAGAATACATTTCTTATCATTGCAACTTTTTCAGCATATCTCAATGAGATACAATTTTGTAATGCATTTTACGATCATTTTAATGTACAATTTTGCTATTTTTGAATGATGTCATAAAAGATTATTTCATCTTTTAATTTGCTTCGCACATCGAGAGGGTTTTAAAACTAGTATTTTTTTAAAAAAAAAATACTAGTTTACCCTTATCTTTTTTAAAAAGACTATCTTACTCTCGTATTTTGAGTCGTTACATTAGATTGTCCTTCCATCCAACATTTGAGATTTTAGACTACAAGTCAAAGTAAAATCTGACGGAGAGAGAAGAAAAATTTTCACCAAAATACCATTTTCTTCTTCCTCTCTCTCTTTCAGAACACGCCACAGGCAAAAAAAAAATTTTGATTTTTCTTTTAAATTGACAAGAGATGCTTTAAACTTATGAAACTAAGATATGCCATGTTATTGTACATGGTACTGTGGTTAGCTATTTGGTTGTTTGGCATACATTGCCATCCGCAAAATAAAACCTAAAGGTTTGGAAAAAAAAAAACTAAAAACTCACTTTAATTGTATTGGTTTAAGGTGTTTGTTCGGATTATCTCCTTAAAATATTTAAATTTATGAATGATTTTGATTTACATATGTACACCAAATTTATAGTGATTAATCATACTTTCTCTTTCATAGAGGAAACAACTTTGACAAAGTCCACCGCAGCCATGTCACTGTAATTTGTTGGAATCATTTGAGTGTTTGTGATGAAATCAACCCACCGGCTTTCTCCTGCAATGAGTACTTTATAGGCCATGAATTCATAAATACAGTAAAATGAGTTTTATTAACCATAGTGCCATGAATACATTTGAATTTTTCTTTAATAGATGCATTTAGTTGGACTCTTGATTTGGATCTTAGCAAAAATACGTAAAATTTTTCATTTTTGTTAAATCTGTGATTGCATTATGTTTATAGGTCCTCATTTGTTCATTTCTTCTTGATTCAGGTTTGGTTCATTATAGGTTGATCGATTGTTCAAGGATTTATCGAAGAAGATGAATTATAAAAGAAAGAGAAAAAGGATATTGTTTAATATAGAGTCATTTATGCCATTTCATAAGCATTTAACATCTAAATTAATTAGCTAATAATGGACAAAGGGAAAGATAACGTAACAAATTGAAAATATGAAAATATAACAGTCTATTTTTAAAAATAAAAAATAAAATAATTTTTTTAATAAATTATAAGAGTAAAACTGCGGTTTTGAATCAATTTGAGTCGGTTTAAACCGATTTGGGGCCTTAATTGAACGAAATTAGAATTCCACCGCGAAATGAAACAATCAAAACCCATCTCAGTCTCACATCCCAATCCAAACGAAATATTGTTGTAGGCCCCACATGATTGCACACTCCTCTATCTCCAATTAGGAGATGGGAATTGGATTCCCAATTTTTTACCTGATCAGTATGGAATTTGGAAAACTTCCTTAATAAACAAGCCCACAGTCCAACCCCCAATCTACCCATCGTTTGATTTCAATCTCTCTCTTAAAAGTCTCCTCTCTTCCGATCAGAAACCAGAGAAGCAGAAACCAAAGCTATCTAAGCTAAAATAAGCTAAGCTAAGATAAGATGCAGATCTTCGTCAAGACCCTCACTGGCAAGACCATCACTCTCGAGGTTGAGAGTAGCGACACAATCGATAATGTCAAAGCCAAGATTCAGGTACTCTTTTCTCTAATTTATCCTTATTTCTTTCTGGGTCTGTTTGTTTTGTCGGAAAATTGACGATTCTTTCTTTATTTCTTTCTTTTAGCTTCTGCTATGGCAATTACATGTTACATATTCGAATAACGCTTTATATCTCATCACTATATATTTTAGTATTAGGCTTTGAATTATATTTGTTTTGAGTTTATGCCCCAATGAAAAATTCTAATATCCTTTTGATGTAACTCTATATAGAATAGATTATTACTGATACAAGTTAAAATTTCATTGACAAAGTAATGATTTTTTACCTTTTAGATATTCTAATGAGCTACTTGTTTAGCTTCTCTAATGTTTCTCAGGTTTTCTTTGTTATTTATTGATTTTTGTTGTGAATTGATGAAATAATATATAAATATTTTTGTATTTACCTTTTTAGGACAAGGAAGGGATCCCTCCTGATCAACAAAGATTGATTTTTGCTGGTAAACAATTGGAAGATGGTAGAACTCTTGCAGATTACAATATCCAGAAGGAATCAACTCTTCACTTGGTTTTGAGGCTTAGAGGAGGAACTATGATCAAAGTGAAGACTCTTACTGGAAAAGAAATTGAAATCGACATTGAACCAACTGATACGATTGATAGGATCAAGGAACGAGTCGAGGAGAAGGAAGGAATTCCTCCTGTGCAGCAAAGGTAACAAATTGATTTTATTCATGTTTTAATGTTGAAATTGAACATCCTGTGCATAAGCATTTTTGCATATCCCAAGTTTTTGCATTTTATGTATGATTTTAGAAAGTAGTTGCCAGGTTCCTTCTGTTATATTAATATGCCAAATTGTTCTAAAATTTGCCGCAAAATCAGTTCACTTAACCATTGAATGGTTCTTGAAATCCATCTGAATTTCAATCATATGATTGTTTGCTCACTGTATAGAATGTGTTTAGTAAAATCATGTACCAAGGAGCTTTAGCTCAGTAGTACCAGAATGGTCTCCAGGTTGCAAGGGAGCAAATAAGTTCTAAACCCAAATTGAAGCCCAATTAACCAAAAAAGAAAAAGTAAGCAGCGTTGGTGTTGACATGCTTCATTAATTAGTAATGCAGAGCCCTGTTAGAAGTTTAGCTTGTTTCCTTATTTGTACTGTGTTGCATTTTTGTGTGATATCTTTGAGTGTTTCTTGACGCTTACTCTATTTCTTGCAGGCTTATCTATGCTGGTAAGCAGCTTGGAGACGACAAGACAGCTCGTGATTACAATATTGAAGGCGGCTCTGTGCTTCATCTTGTGCTTGCTTTGAGGGGTGGTAGTATTTAGATAGTGCATTATACTATCAGGAAAATCTACATGTTGAGGTTTGGTTCTTAATAGATATATTTGTTGGTTTCTGATGTGTGGATAAACATGAGGATATTACAGGGAACATATTTTAATTAACTTTTCTAGACATGAAATTGCCTTGAGCTATCTTCTTTTGCCATTTTTTTTAGCTGGCTAGATGCCTTAATTGCCCTTTCTTCTGCTATGGATGTGCCCTTTTTCCTTCTTTTAATTTGGAAGGCTTATTGTGGTTGGTATAGCATGGATACAATATTGGAACTGGTGATTCCTATTTATTTACTAAAGGTTAAATTAGCAATTTCATCATCTCAGTATCCAAATTTTGGATGTAGAAATATCAATAGCATTTTGGGTGCATCCATGATTTTGTTGAATGCATTATTTTCTAGTTATGAACAGGATTTAGCAACCATGTATGTGATCCTGTGGTATTGGAAAATAAAAAATGGGGGACCTTAGAAGGTATGATCTGCACTGTGTAGCTGAAATTTATAGTCTGCAAAACCAGAAGTTTTTGTCGAAGCAGGATCAAGAGGTGGTCAAGTGGTCGCTTTACTTTGCGAATGAGTGAAGGGGTAGTATTTGGTATGATCTGCACAGTGTAGCTGAAATTTATAGTTTGCAAAACCAGAAGTTTTTGTCAGCAGGATCGAGAGGTGTTCAAGTGGTAGCTTTACTTTGGGAGTGAGTGAAGTGTGTAGTATTCGGAAGTGAAAATATATGGGTCAGTGGCGGTTGAGCTAACTGAAAACCAAACTGGATCAATTTGATTTTAATTTTGGTTACTTAGATTTGATTTTTTAAAGGTTGCTTAAACTTTAGTCCCTAAGGTTTGACTCAATTAACTATATAGTCCCTTTATTTAGGTAAATGCATCAAGTCTTTAAGTTATTGACCCGTTAAATTGAGTCGTTTGATCCAAAAATAGCTATTTTAACTGTAAAAAGTTAGAGATAGTGCCCGGTGAAGCTTGAAAGATGAAATATCATGGACAATCTAACGGGTTAATTTTATTGGTGGCACCTGAAGTTAAGGGTAGGCAAATGATGATGCATTTGTAATTGAAAAATGTATAAAACTTCAATTGGCACGACACTAATGCTCCATAACTTGATGAAAAATATTTTTCATGGAACACATTTTCCTTGAAAAATATTTTTCATGGAACACATTTTCCTTGAAAAATATTTTCTAAATGACTTATTTTTTGTTGTTTTGTTATAATATTAAAAATTAATTAAAAATATTAAAGTCTTTGTTTCTTAAGACCATAAAAAATATTAGTAATAATATAAATTTTATACTTTAAAAATTTTATTGTTAATTATGAGAAGAATGGAAAAAAATGTGAATTATAAAAGCCATCAGTGGCTAATGGTGATAGCCGGTAGTAGTTGGTGATAAATGGTGACTGGTGGTAGTGACCTATAATGATTAATAAATTAAAAAAATATGAATTTATAAAGTTTATCAACGTCTGTAAAATGCTTTACTCTATTGAAAATGGAAAGTTATTTTTCTTAAAAAATGATTTAATTTTCTTTTAATTAGGAAAATATTTTTCGTTGATTTATTTTTTTTATTGTTCCAAACAACGGAAAATTATGAAAAATATTTTCGTGCAAATTATTTTACAAATAGAGTCTAAAATGTCTTTAGTCATTTCAAATTGATTTTTTGGACAACACGTGGCATATAACAAATTAAAGTGTTGTCTAACTTCTAAAAACAACTTCAAGTCAAAAATAAATAATACAATATATTTTTAAAAAAAAAAAATAATTTCAAGTAAAATGCAGCATGACAGTAGAAGAAGAAAATGCATTTACGGCCTTAGATCTTAAAAATCCCTCTAACACAGGCATATAAAAATTTTGAAATGTTGTCCAATTCAGCGCTAAAACAAAAATTTTAAACCAAAAATGGATATCTTATGTTTTTTATTTTTAAAATATTTAAGTAATAAAAATATTTTAAAAAATAAAAGTGTAACTGGAAAGAAGGTTTTAGATGGAACCATCGTCTTCAAAATCGTGATACGAAAGAGTTGGAATGGAATGGAGAAAAGGGAACCGGATGTGATTTGGAAGAGCAACAATGTCGGCCACAATGCTCCATTCCTAGGTTTGTTTTTATCATAAAGTGTTAGCGTATTTCAAAAGATCTCACATTATTTAAGAGATTTAAAAGTGATTTATTTACGAGTGTTTGACATTGAGCTATTAAAAGGTATAGAAATGGATTGGACTCACGCGCACAAGGATTAGGTCCAATTATAGTGTAAACTGGTGAATTTGCCCCTTGCACGCGAGATATCCACGAGGCCCAATTCAAGCAATATTCTGTTTTTTTTTATTTCAAAAATATTTATCATTATTTTTAATAGATAATTTCAAAATATTATCAAATTACAACATTATCTTTTGATTGAGTATTTTTTTTTCTAAAATTACGTTGTATAGCTTGCAACATTCACTAGATCTCCTACAATGTAAATCTAATTTTGAGTATTTTTTCTAAAATTACGTTGCATAGCTTGCAACATTCACTAGATCTCCGACAACATAAACCTAATTTGTTGCAAACTTTGATTAGGTTTTTATGCAACTTATTTTTATAGTTTTGCTGGGTAATTGTATCCATTCTCTGCTAGTTCTTGATCACCTGAAAACTTCAATTTGTTTAGGAGAACCTATTAAATCTTAAGAGGAAATTCACATTTTATGTCCTTTATCTTGTGTAGCGAAACAATCCTTTTAGGACAATGCTATTTTGCACGTCTCATGTTTGTAATCACTATTCTTCATCTAACAACCTAAAAGGATTATGGTTTCCCCTTCTGCTATTAATAACTCCTAAACACCTGTTACTTCTCCAACTAATGAAAACTCAGCTTCTACTTGTGTTCATGTCTCTGTTCCTATTGTTCCTGCCGTGTCATTCGCCAATTTATCTCCTAATATCTCTAAAATTAAGATATTCAACGATTAAAATTTCAAACGATGGTAGGAACGAATTCATTCAACTTTAGATATGCATGGTGTTGTTGCTGCCCTCACTGACCCTAGGCCTCCTCTCACTGTTGATTCAAACAAGTGGAGCTTTAGACTCATGCCAACAATGTGCATCGACATACCATTATTAGCATACTATGAAATGACTTGTTTCATGTTTACGCATCGTAGAAGGAATCTAAGGAAATTTAGGATTCTATGATGCCAAATACATTGTCAAAGGTGCTGGAAAACAAAAAATTATCATTGGAAACTTTATGGGTGGGAGATGTTAAACAACAAAGACATCAAGGTCCAAATTAACGAATACCACAAATTGCTTAAATATTTAAAGGCTAAAAACATTACTCTTCAAGAGCAATTTGCGGCGAGGCTACTGACTGAAAAATTACTAAATTCATGGAAAAATTAAAAGCAACAATTGCAGTCCAAAGCAATTGTCCCTGATAGATTTGATCACCCACATAATAATTGAGGATACCAACTAAAAGGAACTCAAAGCTGCCAAAGCAAAGGAGATCACTACAAAGACACATTTGGTGGAAGACAAAAGACAACAAAAAAAAAGTATGTTAAAAACCTGATTATGTACCTAAAGCCATTAATCCCACCATCGAAAAGAAGGGAAATTGTTTTGTCTATAGAAAGTCAGGCATCATGCACCTTAGTGCAGGAAGAAAGTTAAAAGTGATAATCCTCCTAAGCCAAAAACAAATTTGGTTGAAGGAGATGACATAATAGCTGCAGTTATTTCTCAAGCCAATCTTATGGCTGATGTGAAAGCGTGGATGATAGGCTCTGGTGCTACTAGGCACATTTGTTTTGATAGAGATGCTTTTACCTCTTACACTACTGTAGGTGAAAGAGAAGAACATGTCTGTCTTGGTGGTTCTCAAACAACTAATGTTCTTTGGTAAATGGAAAGTTCTCAATGAAGTTCTTCATGTGCCTAATGTTAGAGAAAATTTAATTTATATATTACTGTTTGGAAAGGTTGGGGTTAGAGTAGCATTTGAATATGATAATATTGTAATTATAAAGAATAATATTTTGGTGGTAAAGAATTTGTAATGAGGGACTTTTTGTCCTGAATATTTCTAAAATTATGAATGAAAATGTTAGCTCTTTTGCTTACTTGGTTGATTCCTTTGATTTATGGCATGTTACACTAGGACATGTGAATTTCCTTTATATTAAGAAAATGCAACATGTTGGTTTTTAATTTCTTATTTAAGTAATTCTTGCATGAGTAAATGTAATATTTGTTTTGAATCAAAATTGACTAAGAAATCACATCCTTTTGTAAATATGAAAATCAAATTGCTTAATCTAATTCACAATGATTTATGAGATTTAAAGCAAACTATGGCCAAGGTGGTAAGAAATTTATCTAGCTACACCAAAATATATTATTTCGACATAAAGATGAGACTTGACACGTTTTTACTATATAAGGTTGAAGTAGAAAATCAGTTAAATAAAAGGAATAAAAGAGTAAGATCAAATAGAGGTAAATAATATTTTTCTTATTGTGAAATGAAAAGGAATAATTCACAAAATTACTCCTTCTTCTTCACCTAAATCTAATGGAGTAGCAGAAAGGAAAAATAGAGCTTTGAAAGAAATAATAAATGCTTTGTTTGTTAGTTCTTATGCACTTGATAATTTGTGGAGTGAAGAATTATTTTCTACATGTCATTTGCAAAATCGTATTCCTCATGAGAAAAATAAGACACCATATGGATTTATTGATCATGATTTTAGCATTAGGCTCTAGGAAATTTTGTTACGGATCCAACGACGTGAGAATCAGCTTGATCAGATGTCGTTTGGGCCTCAAATGGACTCCTGAAAGCCCGAAATCCCTAAAATCTGGCCAAAAGGCCAGGACAGTAATTTGCCTTGATCGGTACTGGCCACCCTGCCACTGGTATTGATCACCTACCAATCGATACCAATGAGGCCCTCTAGAATAGTCAGCACTGGTAATAGCACTGACATAGTCAGTACAGGCACTAACATGATCGGTACCAACTAGCAGCCCCAGCAGCCTATAAATAAGGCACTCCCCCTCATTTGCAAGCACCTCTTGTTGCTTGATTGAGTGCTTCTCAAGCATCAACGACTCTCATTCTCCCTTTGCGAGTGATTTTAAAGCTATAAATTCTGACTTTGCTCTTCTTCCTTACTTGAGCCA